TCATAAGCCAAAGTCTTGACTTTTTTTTTCCTTTTCAGTTTTTCATACAAAGCTATGATAACCAATCAGGGATATCAGAAGATAAGACCAAATTACAGAATAACAAGATAAAAAAAGCAGACAATAGAGGTGAGCCCATAAGGGATCCAGATTATTTGATTATCAGGCACAGATTTTAAGAAACTGTGTTTGAACTTTATGATTGGGCACAGCTGAAGAGAGCATTAATGAACTAGAAGTCATGTCACATTATTATGCAAGATGAATCATAAAGAGCAAAAAGGTAGAAAAAAACAGAAAGGAATGTGAAAGAATGACACTTGATGAAAAGGACATGTAATTGATGTCCCAGAAAGAAGAGGAAGGAAATGAGGCAGAAGTAAAACTGAGAATTTTCTAAAATGAAGAAGAAATCTCAAGTAGGATAAATACCTAAGAAACCATTAAATGACAAGTACAGAAATCAGACAAAAATTGGAGGCATTCCAAATGTCTGTCAACAAAACAATGAAAAAGAATGAACTACTCAGTGCAATTATTAGAATAAACCTGAGTTGACTTATGGAAACTAGACACAAAAGAGTACATATTATATGATTTCAAATGTGAAGATCAAAATAAGACAAAACGAATTTATGAAGTCAGTATAGAGATGGCTTATGGAAAATTAGGGAAGTTATTGAGTGGGAAAATACATAAGGAAAGCTACTGGGGTATTGGAAATTTTCTGTATGTTTATCTGGGTGGTAGTCATGCAAGTATAGTCACTGTGAAAAAAAATTTATTGAGCTCTGCAAATTTATAGGATTTATAAACTTTATGTTTATATGTTATTCTTTTTTTTAATTTTTTAAAATTGATTTCAGAGAGGAAGGCAGTGGTAGAGAGATAGAAACATCAATGAGAGAATCATTGATTATCTGCCTGCTGCATGCCCCACACAGGGGATCCAGCCTGCAACCTGGGCATGTGCCCTGACCAGGAATCAAATCATTACCTCCTGATTCAAAGGTCAATGTGCAAGCACTGAGCCACGCTGGCCAGACATACATGTTACTCTTCAACAACCAAAAAACAAACAAATAAACAAAAAACACCTAAACATTGAATGAACTTTACCAACAGCCCCAACACTAAAGAAATATGAAAAGGTTGTTTAGGCAGAAGAATTTAGATGCAGTAAGAAATGAAGAATACCTAAAAGTCAAATAGTGGACCTAGTACTTCCTGTACTTTTGGGAAAATCACATAACTTCTAGGTCTTACTTTTCCTTTTATGTAATGAAGGATTTGGATTAAATAATATATTAGGCCTCCTCTCTTAAAATGTATTCTGGAGATAGGGCATGGAAGAATTTGAGAGTTTAAGTTTAACCCGGACATACTAATACCAAAAGTAAAACGAAGTATTTGATGAATCAAGAAATTTGAAATTAGGAGGAATTAAATAATGCAGTATAAACAGAGGAAAGTTTACTTTATTTATGTATGCACAAAGGCTAAAGTAAAAATAATTTCAGGACTGACTTACTGTCTTAAAGAGCAGTATAGTTGATGTCTCACTTTCTATAGTTATATACAAATATGCCCCTTTTAAGTATGGATAAGTCCACAAAATTAAAAAGCCCAATCTTTTTGTGTTAAAGATTCTTATTTCTCCCATTTAAAAAACATTTTTTAAATTGATTTTAGAGAGGCCAGGAGAGGTGGGAGTAAGATAGAAACATCAATGTGAGAGAAGATTGTTGATTGGCTGCCTCCCTCATGTCCTCCACTGAGGATCCAGCCCCCAGCCTGGTTCAAAGCCATGCAGGTTGGGCTTTTTCTCCCATATTAATTGTAATAAATCATGTAATGGTTGGATATCCTTTCTTTTATGGTTGGATATCTTTATTTCTATTTATTAAATCTAGTTTGTTATCCAGATAATATTCAAAGAAGTTTGATTCTAGGATGCAACCTATGTTTATTTATTTATTATTTATTGATTTGAGAAGGAGAGAGAGAGAAACATTGATTTGTTGTTGCACTTATTTTGGACAAAAAAATTGTTTTGTCCATTCATTGGTTGCTTCTTGTATGTGCCGTGACTGGAGATCGAACCTGCAACCTTGGCGTATTAGGATAACATTCTATCCAACTAGCTACCTGGCCAGGGCAACCTATGTTTATTTTATAGATCAATATGTAATTTCTGTTTTCTTTGGAGTGGTTGAGAATGATTTGGTTTTCTAAAGGAATGACTTAGAAGTAGAAAACTTTAGCAGTAAAGAAACTTCCTTTCTGAGTACTTGGCAATAAAAAAACTTTATTGGCATATACTTCATATTAACCAGATTTCAATATATGGAATGAAATAATTTCTTTGTTACTTGTTCTATTTTGGTTTTGCCTGTGAAATAAAAGACATCTGGAAATAGGACAAAGAAAGTTAGAAGCAGCAGGTAGCAATTCAGAAATGAAAATAGAATTATTAATGTTGGTAGTATTATATGAGGCCTTTAGAGCTGTGATAGGTGGAGGAGGCAATAGGCCTTGTGCTGATCACACAAGCTATTTTATTTATTTTGTTTTACTTTATTTTATTATTTTTTTTGTTAATCTTCACCCAGGGATATTTTTTCCATTGATTTTTAGGAAGTGTGGAAGAGAGAGGGAAAGCCAGAGAGAAACATCGATGTGAGAGACATCGATTGGTCGCCTCCTGCACAAGCCCCTATCAGGGCCCGGAGAGGAACCTGCAATCATGGTATGTGCTCTTGACTGGAATCGAATCCAGGACCCTTTGGTCCGTAGGCTGACGCTCTATCCACTGAGCCAAACTGGCTAGGGTCTAATAAGCTACTTTTGAATAGAGTCTCATTTCTCAAAGTTTCACATCCAATAAATGCAGGATCTCAGGCCCCTCCTAGGACCTAATGATTTAGAATTTATGTTTAAATCAAAGATTCCCAAATGATCTCATACATGTTAAAATTTGAGAAGCACTGTTACCTGTACATCACATTGTACGATTTTGAAGCAATAATAATATATTATTGGAGTCGGGCAGACCATATATAAAGGCTTTCTATGTTAATGCATATGAAATAATATTTTAGAAGGCTCGGAAGTAATTGTGGAAGGACTTGCTTTAAAATGTTATGTCTAGCCTGGCTTGTGTAGCTCTGTTGGTTGAGTGATGTCCCGAGCACCTAAAGGTTGCTGATTTTATTCTCAGTCAGGGAACATGCCCGGGTTTCAGGTTTGATCCCCGGCAGCTGATCAATGTTTTGCTCTCGCATTGATGTTTCTCTCTTCTCCCTTCTCTCTCTAAAAATTAATTTTAAAATGTTAAAAAATAAATGTATGCCCAGCATGGCCAGAATGGCTCAGTTGGTGGAATGTCACCCTGTGTATCAAAAGGTTGCTGGTTTAATTCCCAGTCAGGGTACATACCTGGTTTGTGGGTTTGATTCCCAGTCAGAGCACATATGGAAGGCAACCAACCGATGTTTCTCTGTCTCATTGATGTTTCTCTCTCTTTCTCTCTCTCTCTCTCTCTCTCTCTCTCTCAGCATGTCCTCTGAGGAGGATTAAAAACAAAAAGGCCCTAGCTGGTTTGGCTCAATGGATAGGAGCTTGTGGGCCAAAGGGTCCTAGGTTCGATTCCTATCAAGGGCATGTACCTTGGCTGCAAGCTCCTCCCCAGGCTGGGCAAGAAGGAACCAATCAATGTGTTTCTCTCACATTGATGTTTCTCTCTGTCTTTCCCTCTCTCTTCCACTTTCTCCAAAAATCAATGGAAAAATACCCTCAGGTGAGGATTAAAAAAAAGGGGGGGTGGGCCTGATTGGTGTGCCTCAGTGGTTGAGCATCGACCTGTGTGAACCAGGAGGTCTAGGTTTGATTCCTGGTCAGGGCACATGACTGGGTTGTGAGCTCCATCCCCATTGCGGGGCATGTTGGAGGCATCAATCAATGATTCTCTCTCATCATTGATATTTCTATCTCTCTCTCCTTGCCTCTCTGAAATCAACAGAAGTATTTAAAAAATAAAAATAAACTATATTAAGATGTTACATCTCAATTACATGTATTTCAAAGTATTTTGAAAGGAAATGTATTGATGTCTACATATTACTTGAAATATATAAAATATTTCTAACGATGTATAGATAGAAAGATGTGTTGAAGCAAAAGTAGTAAAGTAGTGTGGAGGGAGGACAAAGAGGGTAAAGGGGTCAAATATGTGGTGACGGAAAGAGACTAGACTTTAGGTGATGAGCACCCAATGTAATATACATATGTATTTTAGAATTGTATACCTGAAATGTATATAATGTTATTAAACAATGTTACCCCCCAAAATTTAATTTAAAAAAATTATAAAATGCTGTGGAATCTATTTGGTGTGCATATAGGAGTTAACTGTACAATTCCTTCAACTTCTCTATATGCTTTCAATTTTTCATAGTAAAATGTTAATGGGGAAACTGTTATGCAAATGGAAATCATATACCACACTCTGTAGTTATCTTTGTGTTTTCATATTTGCTTTATTTTATAATTAATTGGTATTTTGTTCCTAGGGAAGAAAAAATGGCTAATATTTTTTGCAAGTGCCTTGTACCAAACATAAGGCTTTACTATTACACTTACTATTACACTTTCATGAGTTAGATATGATTGTCAGTTTGTAGTTGAGAAAACCAAGACATAGTTTTATATACTTGCACAATTTAGTAAGCTCAGAGCATACCTTTTGAATCTGGGAAGTCTGATTTAAGAGTTGATGGCTACCAAATTGCACAATTCCAGGGCCAGTTTTCATCATTAGCACAATAGAGTATCATTCACTTAGAATACAAAGTGGGTAGTTCCCCTGGGATTGTGTAACAAGACTGCCTGGCCTTAACCACTTGCTTATATGACTACCTCACTATTCTTAGACTTTTAAATATTTTTCTGATGTGAATTTTGAATTGTTCCATGACTTTTTCTTGTTTTTTATTTTTAAGATTCTTGGATCTCCCAGTCAGCATCATTTCCGCGTAATCAGAAACAGCCAGGGATGGATTCTTTATCACCAGTGGGCTCACTTCCTAAACAGATTTGCCAGTCTTCAGCCAAACAGCAACTTACTAAACCAGCTAAAATCACTTGTGCACACTGCAAAAAACCTTTACAGAAGGGACAAACAGCTTATCAACGAAAAGGATCAGCTCACCTCTTTTGTTCTACCACCTGCCTTTCCTCCTTCTCTCATAAGCATACTCCAAAGAAACACAATGTAATGTGTAAAAAGTAAGCTGTACTTTTTCCATATGGTTGATGCTGACATTGTAAATGTGTGTTCTGAATGTAATTGGAGAACTGCATAAATTCATGGGTAGAACTGTTGCAGGGGTGTCCTCAAGTTTATTGAGCTTGAGTTATCTTAGAGTTTGTCAGAGTTCAGAGTTGTCAGTGGGCTTATTTGAACTGTCCTTACTCTCAGCAAGAAAATGGAGTGTGGGTATGGAAATAAATTGACCCTCTCCCTGCCACCGACTCTGCCTCATCAGCCCAACCCCCATCTTCTTCAGTTCTACCAAGTTGCTAACACCTGTTGTTGTTTTTAAATCCTCACCTGAGGCTTTGTTTTTATTAATTTTAAAGAGAGAGGAAGGGAAAAAAAGAAACATCAATGTGAGAGGGAAACATCGATTGCTTAGCTTTTGTAGGCACCCCTGCCAGGGATGGAATCCACAATCTTTTTGGTGTATGGGATTACGCTCCAACTAACTGGGCCTTCCTGACAGGGTTTGCTACCACCTTTTTGATTGCTTCTAAAAGTCATCAGAATCTATGGCAAGGATCTTGTGATGCAAAATATTTTTATTTATAAGTCTTTTCTTTCTATTTTGTTTAGGAACTCTTGGTGATGAAACAAAAAAGTGGATTTTTCTAGATCCCCAAGTTATAGTTGATTTGTAGTATTAAATTATGAGAAAATGAAACTGTCCATTATTTTTCATATATTTAAAAATAAAATACAGTGTTGTTAAATTGTGTTTCTCCCTGTGTTTCAGAGATGTTCCTGCAAAAAGGGCTACTGTTGTTCCTCAAGTGCAGTTGAGCCAGCCCTTCCAGGAATTCTGCAGTACATACTGTGTGTCTCCCTACGAAGACAACCAGAGTCTCAGAAAAAGAATTTCAAATAAATCAAGATGTACAGTCTGTTGTAAACTAACAGAGGTCTGAGTTTTTCTATCTTAAGTTATTACCTACGATAACTTTAATATGTTTTTTAAAAAATTGATTTGAGAGAGAGAGAGAGAGGGAAAAAAACTTGAAAATGAGAGAGAAACATCAATTGACTGACTCTAGCATGCTCCCCTACTGGGGATCTTGCCTGAAACCCAGACATGTGCCCTGACTTGGACTTGAACCAGTCACTTTTTGGTGCATGGGACAACCCTCAACCAACTGAGCCACACTGGCCAGGGTTCTAGGATAATTTTAACTGTTAAGTGCTATTCTGTGCTCTGCCATCTACATAATGCACATGTCCTGAATCTGCACAGTGAAGTTACAGGAAGGACTAAGGATATGCCAGAACTATTTTATAAACAAATGTCTTATTTGCACAGTATGAAAAATATACATCTGTTTCTATAGAATTGGATGTACTCATCCATAGAGTAATAGTTGTATAGTGGATTTTGTTCTTACCAGACATGGTAAATTAAAATGTAGGTTCAGGACACAAAGCAAGCAACCAGTCCTGGTGCAAGAACATATAGAACATGTGGACTGAAAGTATGTTGATAACTTCACATTTCTTATTTGGTATTGCCATCCTTCCAGTTCCTGAAAGAAGAAACATGCATGTAGGCAGTCCTGACTTAACACAGTGCTTGGTAACAGTTTGGTGTTGGTTTCTGCAGAGTCATGCAAATCCAGGACACAGTTTTATCTCAGTTACCACAGAGCTGAGCAAAGCAAGAACCCCTTAGTCTTGTATATCCAGACAACATCCAAATATAGAATACTGATTCACTTAGTCCCTCCCACAAATTATCTAGATCAATGAAGCTTATATGACTAAGAATTCTCAATCCATTTCTTTTAAGTGGGTGGTATCAAAATCTTTTAAATCCATTCATTTTCTGGAATGCTTAAGTTTCTCTGGGGAAGTTATTACTGCTTTTATTGTTTTTTGTTCTGTGTATCTTATTTTTATAAAAATCAAAGAATGATTTTACAAAGAAATCAAAGATAAAAATGAAAGAATAATGAAATGGGCTTTTTAGTCTTTTTTCTGAATATTTTTTCCACTGAGAAGTTACAAGAGTTTCTTTGTTTCTGTTGAAACTAGTTATCTCTTGCCATAACTGGTTTTGCTCAGTGGATAGAGCATCGGCCTGCGGACTGAAGGGTCCCACGTTCGATTCTGGTCAAGGGCATGTGCCTTGGTTGCGGACACATCCCCAGTGGGGGGTGTGCAGGAGGCAGCTGATAGATGTTTCTTACTCTCTATCCCTCTCCCGCCCTCTCTGTAAAAAAATCAATAAAAACATATTTTTAAAAAATGAAACTAGTTATCTCATTGCTTACTGTGCTAATCTGGCTTATTTATTTAGTAAATTCTCATTTTTCTTTTAGATTCGCCATGAAGTCAGCGTTAATAATGTGACACACAAACTGTGCAGTAACCACTGCTTTAACAAGTACAGGTTGGCTAATGGTCTGATAATGAATTGCTGTGAACATTGTGGAGAGTACCTGCCTAGCAAAGGTTCTGGAAACATTGTCCTGGTGATTGATGGCCAACAGATGACATTCTGCTGCCAAAGTTGTGCTAATGAATATAAACAGGTAATTCTTTTAATTAATTTTAGACGATCAGCTATACAATAACCTGTTAGCTTACATTAATCAGATTGATCTTAGAATTTCATTTAGTTCCACTTTTGTCAATCTGTCATTGAGGTGTCACATCTGAAGTGAGTATTGAAATCAATTGTTGTAAGTTTGTTCAAAATTTTTACTTTTTGCAGACATTACAAGTAGTTCTTTTCTCTATTGTTTTACACTCCCACTGATAACTCGATAGTTCCAGTTACTTCACATTCTCCACAAAACTTGGTGTTGTCTGTTTCTTTGGGTTGTTTTTTAAAATATTGAGAGATAAAGATAGAAACATCAGTGAGAGAGAAACATGAACTGGCTGCCTCCTACATGCTCCCTACTGGGGACTGAGCCCAAACCTGGGCATGTGCCCTGACCATAGCATGTGCTATGACCTCTTGCTACATGGGATGATATGCTCAATCACTGAGCAACTCTGGCTGGGTGGTGTTATCTGTTTTGATTTAAGGTATTCTAGTGGATATAAAATTTGCATTTCCTCAATAACTAATGTCCCCCTTTCATCATTCATATATCGTGTTTTGTAAAATGTCTATTCAAGTCATCTGCTCATTTTTAAAATTAGGTTTTTGTATTATTGAGTTATAGGAATTCTTTATATATTCTGGATGCATATCTTTTATAAAATAATGTATTGAGAAGATGTTCTTCTGGGCAGTGTTTTGTTTTTTCATTTTCTTAGTGTTAAAGAAAAGTCCAAGTGTTTAACTTTGTTGAAGTCCAATTTACTATTTGCTTTTCTGATTAATATTTTTTGCATTTTGGTTTTTTGTTTTGTTTTGTTTTAAATATATTTTATTGATTTTTTTACAGAGAGGAAGGGAGAGGGATAGTTAGAAACATCGATGAGAGAGAAACATCGATCAGCTGCCTCCTCCACACCCCCTCCTGGGGATGTGCCCGCAACCAAGGTACATGCCCTTGACCGGAATCGAACCTGAGACCCTTCAGTCCGCAGGCTGACGTTCTACGCACTGAGCCAAACTGGTTAGGGCTGCATTTTGTTTTAAGGCATATTTGCCTACCAAAGTTATGAAGATATTTACCTTTATTTCCTGCTCAGGACACATCCCCAGGTTGTAGGTTCAATTCCCAGTTGCGGGTACATACTGAAGACAACTGATTGATGTTTCTCCTCCCTCTCCCTTCCTCTCTCTTTCTAAAATCAATAAGAACATTTTAAAAAATTAAATCAAGATGGATGATAAATATAAAACCAGGAACATTCTTCATCCTCATTGAATAAAGGTTTAAGTGGATAGTTTTTAGAGAAAAGTAACTCAAGTGCAAGGCTATTAAATAATAGAGGAAACAATAGATACCCATAATTGACTGTCAGTTTTTGCAAAGAAAGCTAGTTTATGTTCTCTTCATTCTTAATATATAGTGCATCTTGCATATAGCTAAGCTGTTGGATGTGGCTTCTAGAAAAGCATAGTGAACAATTATTAAATAGCAAAAAGACAGTATAGATTATCTTTTCAAAAGAGTACATGGCAAAAATAACCTAATGAACCTCAGATTGGTAATAAACAACTATTTTAGATCTTAATATTTTTACAAGTCTTTTTTTAGTGGATGATTTACTTGTATCTGCATACATTATGAGTTTTTTTTAAATTAAATCTTTATTGTTCAAATTATTACAGTTGTTCCACTTTTTTCCCCCCATAGCTCCCCTCCACCCAGTTCCCACTTCACCCTCTGCCCTCACCCCCACTGTCCTCATCCATAGGTGAACGATTTTTGTCCAGTCTCTTCCTGCATCCCCCACACCCCTTTCCACCCCAAGAATAGTCAGTCCACTCCCTTTCTATGCCCCTGATTCTATTATAATCACCAGTTCATTCTGTTCATCAGATTATTTATTCACTTGATTTTTAGATTCACTTGTTGATAGATGTGTATTTGTTGTTCATAATTTGTATCTTTACCACCTTCTTCTTCTTCTTCTTCTTCTTCTTCTTCTTCTTCTTCTTCTTCTCCTCCTCCTCCTCCTCCTCCTCCTCCTCCTCCTTCTCCTCCTCCTCCTCCTCCTTCTCCTCCTTCTTCTCCTTCTTCTTCAATACCTTTCAGCATTTCATATAATACTGGTTTGGTGATGATGAACTCCTTTAGCTTTTCCTTATCTGTGAAGGTTTTGGATGCTCGCTACTCTTTTTTATTACCCACTATCTTGTTTTAGAAAAAAAAAATTATTAAAAAAATTAAAATATTCCCACCTAAATGGCGTATATTTTTTTTTTTTTTGTTTTTTTTTTTTTTTTTTTTTGAGGGGAGAAGTGGTAAAGTGTGTTTTTTTTTTTTTTGGGTAAAAAAAAAAAAAGACATCCTCATAAACACACCCCCCCGCCCGCCCCCC